ATAAATTTCAAACTGGAGGTGTTACCACAGACTTAGAGAATAATAAGTGTAGCACTCACATTAAAGTGTGATTAGTGGGGTTAAGAAAACTATAGATGGACTTCTCTGACTTCCAGCAACATACAGGGAGAGAATATATCTGGCAAATGAGAGAAAAGGCAGTATTGATTTAACAAAGTAGACAGGTATCAAATTAGCCTAAATGATTTTCAAGAAGATCTGATCATCAGTTATCACACCACATGATATCCTTTAAATGGGGGAAAAAGGGAATAGTAGTTGAAACTGAACTATTTCCCCATGTAGCACTATATGAAATCCTTCCAAAGTGAAGAGGATCTGGTTTAACTTGGAAACCATGGTGGACAAAAGCACAGGCTAGGAATGAAGCAGTGCCTTATATTCCAGGGATACTTGCCAAACCAGAGAATAGGGACGTGTAAAAAAGATAGGGGGAGTGGGGGAACTGTCAGCGTTAAAGGACTAACTTGAAGAGTGAGAGAGTTACAGTGGTAATAACTGAGATGAAAACTAGCATAATAAGCATAACGTTGAATGTTTAAATGTTGCTTATTGTTTTCTGTAAAGCTATGGCTCAAGTTAGAGATACATTCCACTTCCTGCTTTAGCAGTCAAGTTTTTTTCTGGTATAGGGAAGCATTGGTAGTGCTGGTCAGACCTTGCCTGGAGTGCTGCCACAGTTCTGGTCACTTAATGATGAATTGATGCTGGAACAACTGCAAAGGGAGGACTCTTGAGAATGCTGTCTGTGTTCTGTATCTTGGAAAAACAGCTTGGTGTGAATGCTGAAGACATAACAAAGATTGAACACGGAGGTGCTTTAGAGCAATTATATCAAGGCCAGTGGCTTAAGCTAACAGAAATGTTAGTACAAGAAAAATGGAGGACAGCAGGACCTTCTTAATTAATAGAAGTTATTCAGTGATTTCTATGAGGACATAGTGCAAAATGCGCAAGTATTTAACTGTGTGAAATCCAGGTCTCTATTCCTCAAGAAACTAAGAAAAAATGGGATTACGTTAGCATTTAACTTCTGTTAGGCTTTGTTCCCATTTTAGTGCCAAGTAATGCTCACTTTTGCATTGATCCAAAATACAACACGCTTTCAGCAAATTAATAATGAAAAAGTCACAAGAATGGTTTTGAAGGGGGGGAAAAATACTGCATGCCACACTGCTACTCTCAAGGTCTGCTTCTCAGACATACTAGTCTGTCAGTGCAACTTGTGAAGTGAGGAGATCATCTGAAAGTGTTGCCTGCTCTTAAAACTGGACAGAAGGAAGTCAGCACTGCTGCCTTTTCTGCACCCCTCCTATCTGAAATGGGGTTTCCTCTCTGGGCTCTCAACTTTGCCATTTTTTTTTTTCCCTTGCAGACATCTCTTCTCATATATTACAAAAGACAAACAGACAGAGAGCTTGGTGGAGAAGCTTTGTCATCGATTCCGGACTGCCAGGTTGGGTTGTAATCTTAATTTTCCTGACAAGCACTTTTGCTTCTTAGGAATTGTTAGAGGAAACAAGCTTGTATGTGATAGTTGTTACAGGTTCCCATCATAATCTTCATGTAGCAAAGTGACAAATGCTGACATAGCCTGGATTAGGTCCCAGGTTTTATTTAACTACCTTCCTCCTAAAAATACACGAATAAATGTGTATAAATTAAGGCAGTGATTGGCCCCTCTTCCCTCCTTTCTTAAGGAAAAAAGTTTTGTGACAGTTTAGATCTGCATTACAGCTGAGCAAGGGGACATCCCACGTGCGGGTTTTATGTATCTTTGTGGTCCTTCTCAACAGGCTATTCCCTTGTAGCTCAGCTAGGAAATCAGTGTGTTCAACTAAGAAGTTGGGATCTCCCCAGCAGTCGTCTCAGCTATGACAGTTGATAAAGACCTGTCCTTGTTCTATGTGCATGGGCTGCTCAGCACTAACTCTATGCTTGGGACTCTGTTTTGGGTGGGTTTTTTTAATTATGTTATTCAAGGGCTTCACTTAGGCTTTTGCTCTGCTCTGTCTGGAAGACATGTATGCATTGCTCCTTGTGCTGATTACAGAGTATATAGTGCAGGGCCTACCCCATGAATCTGGGATATCATTTTGCTTTGCAGGTTTTAGAGTTTTTTGCTTCTTTCTGCCTGTTCCCCAAGCTGTAACCCAGGTGTACACTTTTCTTTTTTTTTTTCCCCAAGAAGAAAGGTAACAAATTTATCTGCTTCCCTGTCGTGTACTTCCAATGATATCTTCACTTTAACTTCCACTGGCTTTGGTGCACCCTGCCTTCCTCCATTCCTGTGGTTTTCCTTCCCCATTGTTGTGGCTTTGCCCTTGAGGTTTAAGCTGTGTCTGCTTATCTTGGCCATTTCTACACAGTGCCTGGGCATGTGACCTGCTCAGCTGCCTCAGGGAGTTGCATATTTCCCAAAAGATTTGGATTTTGTTTCCTGAGTTGGAGTGCAGAGTGGTCCCTCTCTCCCAGGTTGCCTCCCAGGAACACTGGTGAGCTCTTCACACAACACTGTAAATAACCATCTTTATGTGAGTTGTGTCTAGCCTTTAGTAAAATGTCCTGATATTTCTGTACTGCAAAGATGATCAGCCTTATGAACACTAGTGGTAATGCCAAAGCAAGGCTCTCTCTCCAGGTTAAAACAGGAGCTTATCAGAGAAGATTTTGCAGCTACTATCACCCTCCTCAGCATTTCTGGAGTTCCAAATGTAGCAACTTGCCAAGTATCATACAGACTTTAAAGATGTAAATACCTGGATGCTGCAGCTTTGTTCTCCATCTGTTTAGGTTTTAGCAGAGCATTCTTACAGAGCAGATGCAAACAGACTTCAGACCCTCTGCTTAGTATATATTAATAATAGGGGCTTTGGCCTCAGTTTTTTCCCCTCCCATTCCGTCACAGTGAGCTACATTAATAGTTTGTGCATTTATTTTTTTTTCCCTTTGTTTTTTTTCCTATAACTTTTGCTGGAATTTGAATGTAGTCCTTCTTTGATACAGCAGTTGGTATTTGTTGACTTCATGACTTAATGAATATGACCTTCTTTATGTCCCTTTCTGGCCAGCAAAGAGAGGGAGACAGAACATCAAATACAGCTTCTGCTTGAGATCATCTCAAACATGCAAAAATGAGCAGCCAGGGTTTTTTTATTATTCAGTTGAAATAAGGCCCTTCAAGAGGAGTCCTGACCTCACTGAGTCATCTTTTCTTCCTAGTCAGCAATAACTTCTGATACTTTCTAAACAACTGACTGTGTTCTTCAGCAGTGGAGCCTTCATGTTTTTCTGACAGACACTAAATCAGTGTCTTTGGCATACAGTGATGGTTGTGTGTGGTATGGCACAGCACCTTGTCACTGACCTGTAACAGAACAACCTGAATCTCATGTTCTGCGAGGCAGAAGCACCTGCAGGAAATGCTGTAGCTCTAGGTGAGATGTGCTCACCCTCACACACCCCTTTTTGTAAGATCTAATGGCAATCTTTGTCTTTCTCAGAACGGAGCGTCAATACCGGGATCTGTCCCACTGCCTTACTCTGCTTCCAGTCTCGGAACGGGGCCTTCACAAGCTGCAGGACAACTTTGACTGCTTTGCAGATAAGCTCCAAGATCCAGCTGTCTACAGTTGTTTCCAAACTGTGCTGGCTCGATTCCGCAGAGCAGGTGTCAAACCTGAGGCTAAAGTAAGGATATGGGACAAGTGTCCAGGCCAGAAAAGCGATTGCTTTTTACATGTATTGATTGGAAAACCCTGCAGCTTTCCATTTTAAACAGACTACTGCTAATCCCTAACAATTTACCAATTTATTTATTTAACTTGATGGCAATTCTGGTATGGATGTAATATTTATCTCCCCTCACCTTCTCTTTTTTCCCCCCCCTGCGCTGTTTTACATCTCCATCAGGCTCTAGCTGAAGAGCTGGAGCAGAAGCTGTCTGCCTCCCATAACCGAGGGCTGGATTCAACAGAGACGTGCCAGGAAGGCAGTCGAATTCCAGTGTCAGTGCCAGCCAAGCAGAAAAAAATAAGAAGTATGTTCCTTTTGTGAGGCTGCAGCCTTCCCTGTGATCCTGCAGTCCAGCAGAGACACCTAGGGGTATTTCCTTACCCTTCCAGAGAGAATGGCTGCTACCTTTTCTCTTTTTTTTCCCCTTTTCCTTGACAGGTTCGTCCCACCAGCCCCTGAGCCCGGTCAACAGGGATGATGAAGATTTTGTCACACCCCAGTCTTGCACCCTCCGAAACCAGAAGCGTGCCCAAAAGCGCCGTCCACGCAAAAAAGCTGTGATCAGCTTCTCCAGTGACGAGGAGAACAGCTCTGAGGATGGTAAGGCATCCTGCATGTGCCCTTGAAAGGTGAAAGGGGAGAAGAACTAGAGATTTGGCCCAACAGGGATGTTCCTTTGGTAGTGGGCTTCAGAGCACTGTGGAGGTTGCCTGGAGATTTCTCTGTTCAAGGCAGTGGGGTGCTGGTTATTGACACATTTTACTCTCTTTAGAGCTATCGGCAGAATTAAGAGAGGAAGAAACCCCCACCAAAACAACTCCCATCACCAGATCTTCAGCCCGCCGGCTGCGCTGAGGGAACCATCTGCCACTGTCTTTAACTAAAAATAAAACTCATCCTTTGCAGCAGTCATCTTCTCTTGTCTGAACTACCCCATAATATGACAGTGCTTTAAATGAGGACAAAATGGAAGTTAACACCAGGCTAAAGCAATTTCAATCCTGCCTTTTGGTATCTCCACAAAGAAAGGCAGTGCTGAACATAGCTGCCACTTTGACCAATTTTGCCCTGGCTTTGCAGATAAGAGTAATCTGCTTTTATTTAAAAAAAAAAAAAAATCTTTGAAAGAAACTCTTTCTAAGAAGAGCCAAACTACTTCTCATTCTTTTCTCATTTTGTACATGCTTATAATACACTATTCAGCCTCTTTCAACACAGGACCAATATGATTTTGCTGAGATTAGGCATTTTTATGTTTGATCTTTTTAGGAGCTCTTGCCCTGTAAAGCTCAGCAGGGCTCTGAGGGGAAATTACCTGCATCTTTTTCTTGGACAGATTTCATCAAAGAAGAGTTGAGGGATTGGGGGCTGTGGAGAAAGAGAGAGAGAGACAGGTTAACTTAGACTAGAGTGCTTCAAAAGACTTCAATAAATCTTTTAAAAGTTTTAAAAAAACAAAACAAAAGCAACCTAACACTAAAAACTTTAACTTTTAATAACTCTGATTTGATCAAGTCACTGAGTATACTGATAGCATTGGTTGTTTCACTGTGCTTTTTGGAATGTATTTGCTGCAAATCCAATTATGTTTCAAATAAGACTGGCACTTACCCTCTTTCTTCCAGGAATGCCACATCAGTGTTCAAGTCAGTCCTGGCACTGCTTGAACTGCCCTGTGAACATGAAGTGCCCTAAATTAGATTTTGTGTTAATCACATAAATAACCTTTAACCTCCTGTCTCAGAGGCAAGTTGGCATTTGTCCCAGAGCTATTACTACAGAATACTTTCCTCTTACCTGTCAGCTGCCTACAAAGCAGTCTAGTCCCTAGCTGGGCAGGGACAGGAAGGGTCCTCCTCCTCTCTGCAGGTTCCTGCAGATCTTCTGCAATCTCTGTCTCTGAGGATCTACCACGTTCCCACAGTCATTGGGGTTACCCTTACTTCACCCAGGAAGTAGAGCACGCTGCTCCGTTCCCCTCTGGGCCTGGCTGCATAACTAGCAATAAAGGATTGCTGTAGCTTAATTTGATCCCTATTTAAAAAAAAAAGAAAAGTCATTAGTAATTGCATAGCTTTGCACTGACCTGGGCCTATGGTTTTTCATGCCAATACTTGAATGGACATAAACATGTTAAATGGGTGTAGAAACAAGTAGAATGGGGGGCAGGGATGGGACGACAGGTGTATCTACTGGAGTGGGCAATGTGGACCAAACACCACACTTGAGTCCCATGGCACAGTGAGAATACCTGCACACTTGCCACCACTGGCATAAGAGCCAGACACCAGTACAGATACACTCCAAATCCAGAGCATGCCAGTAGCTACAGGACAATCACGTGAAATACAAAGATCAGAAAGCTACAGCAATATTGCCCCTCTCTCTCTCCCTTCCTCCCTAGTAAAATATTCAGTGAAGGCTACAGGAGAGAGAGGCAGCAGCAGTAAATATGACACAGTCATGCACACGGTACGTGATTCCCCCACCACCCACGGGGTTTGTCACTCACATATGGGAATGAAAAAAGAAAAGGGCAGCACGTATGGGTGTCTGCTCAGGCTCGAGGTTTTACAAGCCTGTGCAATAAGTGAGATAATATGTTGACAATACTGCAGTAGGGGAAATATGAATGGGTGGATAGAGGAAGCAAGGTGGCCATAAAACTCTTATGCACTGGCTCACCTTCAGGCCATGCTTTTTCAGTACAAAACTTCTTCGGGAGAGCCAGAGGAGGGTTTGGCAATCACTAAATGAGCGACACGGTGGCTCCTTCACTGCTTTGCACCCTGTCTTTTGCTCTGTCCTGACACTGCACTGCCTGGACAAGTGAGAGTGAAAGTCAGTGAGTGAGAGCTCCAGTTGGTCCCTTTCTGCAACTTCTTCAGGTGGAGCAACCCCTCTCCTCACTGTCATCTCCTGACATTGGAAAAATTAGCAGTCCTGTGTCATGGATCAAGAAGTCCTGCAGAAAGATGAGGCAAAACCCAAAAGGGGTTTGGACAGCTACACAGTGGCTACTGCTTAAAGTAGATGGTTGCTGCCCTTCTGTTCCTCACAAGCAGATATTTTGGTGGCTGCCAAAATGACCAGGAATTGCTACTGAAGTACTAATGTCACTCCCTTGCTTCTGAGGCATTGGGATTACTCACTGCCAAGATCAGTGGTGTTTCCATTCTCTGAGGGCCTCCTGACCATGGCAGCTCTGAACTCCTTCCTACAAATGATACCAGTGGAATAATGTGAATATTGCTCTTCCTTCTAGAGCCTGCAGCAACCATTATCCCTTTCCATCACCATGGGCCAAGGGGCGTTCCCTCAGGGTACTTCACTCAGTTCCCGGTCCTCCCACTCTCCACTTGCTCTGCTCCTTTCCTATATAAGCAACTGTTTGTAAAACACTGACTGTGATTTAGCAGGAGACCACTTTTCTGGTGGTCTTGCAAGCTCTCAAATCAGTGCCCTAGCATCAGAGGGGGAAGGGTTTTTATAGAGGAAACTTGTTAGCATCAGAGAGGAAAGAAGGACAATAACCTATTTGAGTCTGAGAAAACTGGGGCAACTGGGGACTCGTCTGCCAAAGCCTTTTCACTTCACAGTCACTGCCAGGACGTCAGACCAACTATTCAGTGCTACTGCAGTCCCAGCAAGGATCTGGGACACAGAGCAGCTGCAACATCATGGCACCTGAGCAACTGAGCACCATTTTATCCAGTTTTTGCTGGATTTGCAAGAATTTACAAGAATCTGCAAGAAAATTTGCAAATTTTCTGCAGTCTCTGAAGTTTCTTGTTTAGTAGGAGACAGTGATGGCTCCTTCCCCCTTGCCAGTGCCAGCTTTTGCTGGACCTAAGGAGGGGACTTGTCACTTGAGATCTCTGAGCCTGTCCACCAATGCAGGGCTCAGTCTTTGTACAAGTGGACTGGAATTTTGGAGCAGTTGCAAACACATTTCTGGCATTCTTGCAGTACGGGGGCCACCACATTCAGAGGATGCCAGGTCATGCTGCTGCTACATTTTGTATCAAAAACAAAGTGTTGTTGCTTTGGTACTTACCTTTCACTCAGGGAAGACCTGACTCCTGCAACCGGTGCGTTCAACCCGAGATGCACCTGCCTGCAGCTCTCTTGCTGGCAGCATGAGTGCTCTGGCAGGCTGACTCAGCTCCTGGATGGTCAGATGTGACTGGGAAGTACAGAACAGCATCCTCTGGGACATCTTGCATGTGGAATGAACACGTGCTCACTTCCTGTCCTCCTTCCTTTCTTTTCCACCCCTCTGAATCTTTCACACCACAGTACTCCATACCCTACTGCACCCAGCACATGGCTGTACACACATCCCACACTCTGTTTGTGCCCAGGCACCCTGTCTGAATGCCCACGTGGACAGCACATCCCATGGCTCTCCAGCAGTCACCTGTGCTCTGTAGATTAAAAGGCTGGTATGAAGGTAATCCTGTTCCCCACGAAAGGTCTCAGTGAAGGACATTATCAGGGACCTAGGGAGCCCCTCCAAGTGCTGGGCCAGGCGAGGGGGTGACAGGGGACAGGATCACAAGAGCAGTGCATTGCTCTGGAACCAACACCAGACATGGGTCACAGATATCAGCTGGAGCTAACAAAATTGGATATCCCCACCTGTTCAAAGTGTCTCCTTCTTCCAGCATCAATGCTCCAGAGTGATGCCCCCTACTCACTTCTCATAGACTGGCTGCAAAACAGTTCATAAAACTTTCTAGCTCCTTGGGCAGCAAAGAAAGGGACCCACAAATCAGCATCTGCAAGTGCAGAAGGAAGGAACGGAGGGAGGGAGGAAGAGCAAATATCCGAACTTTTGTTGTCTCTGCAAAAGACTTTTTTTTTTCTACTTCTCTTATTTACTTGAAAAAAAAAAAAAGACCTTTTTTTTCTAATTTTCTTCTTTCCTTGTAAAAAATAAACAAAAGCAGGCAGCACAACACTTCCTGTCAAGTTTTGACCCAACTGCTTTGTGCAACAGTACTGAAGAAAGGGAAGTTTAAGGTGGTTTTAAACTCACCCAGTACAACCATTACTAATCCTGTACTGAGGTACAGTCCCCCCACTCCTCTCCCCCGACAAACCTTCCTGATTAGTTTCTGTCTTCACACTCAGGCTGACTTCTGCACCCTAATCTCCAAACAGTGACCTCATTGCCTCGTTCAACTGGTGAGAAACTACAATAAAATGGGAGAGGTAAACAAAGGGGGGGAACTAATGGACAGAAGATTTAGGAGGTAGGAATCTGCTCCTTGCTGTCCTGCTTCCATTGTGTGCCTGAGCTTGAGAAAGTGCAAGCTGAGCCTCGACAAGGTCTTTTCTGTGACGGTTCCTCTGGAAACTCACTCCAGTCCTCCAGATGGTGACTTGGGACAACCAGCCTGCATATTATATACCCACTAGTACTAGACCTAGGGTTCTAGTCACTGCTTGTCACTGCTACAAATTCCATATGGTACCGGAATTCACCCACCTTCTGCAGCAGGAGTTCTTCATTCCGAGGCCAACCGTCTCACCAAAATATAAATACTAAAACCAAATGCCTGTATTGTCACAGAGCTGAATCTGTGTCTGCTCTGTGCAGCCAGCAGTGTGCCCACTGCTAGCTGAGCTGTAGTTCATACTCATGCTGATTAGAGAAACAGCAGTAACAGCACTCTGCCTACAAGGAGTATGTTCAATACCATTACACAATGCAGCCTTCAATATCCTCCTTTGGTACATGTTTCAAAGTGTCACCCCATTCCTGACCCTGACAGATACCTCCAGGTCCTGGGCAGCAGCAGCTCAACTCACATTGAGTGAGTTGAGTTGAAGACATTAGTCTTTCCAGACACTCAGTAAACACCTTTGTGTCCTTTTTCTTTAGAAGAAGGGGTCTTGCTGAGCTCACCCTGAAATATATCACCCTGGACAAAAGGGCTGAAAGGTTAAGGAGCTCCAGGGGGTGGATCAGGAGGGAGCTGGGGGCCAGGCACCGGCCAGAACCAAAGCTATAAAGGCAGAGAGGGGCAAGGGACTGCATTCGACACGGATGCTGCATGTCCTGCCTCACCTCCCACAAGCCCTGGGATAAGAAGAAGATGCTGGAGCTGCAGTCATGGCCTTGTTCGTTTTTCCTCCTCTTGGTTCTGCTCTCTGCCAGCGTTCAGACTGTGTCCTTACCAGGACAGAGGCTACAGGTAGGAGGGACTGGGAGAATGCTGAGGGAGGTTTCAGAAGTGGAGTGACAATTTGGGGAAGTTGTGTTTGAACCTCAAGTGAGTGGTGGTCCCAAATTTCAACTACTGGAGGCTGCTGTCTATTCTCACTGCTCCCTCCCCTTCAGTCCAGCAGCCTCAGCTCTAGGGTGACTTTATAACCCAGCTCCTAAAGAGCATCAGCATTTCAAGACGGGAAACACACAAAAGCTTTTTAGTGCTCTGCAGAGGATTTTAACGGTAAAGAGCCTGCCCCATCTAACCCTGCTCTGTGTCAGCAACAACCAGAAATCACGGGTGTATCTCTCATCATGTTCAATGCCTGGTTCTGATGTTTCAGAGAGAAGATGTATCCTGTTTGGCCAGGATTTTTGCTCCTAAGCTCAGTATTGCCCCTCAATAGACACTCTAAGGCCAAGAGCCGCAGTCAGGATGCCAGCTAAAGGCTTCTTCACTTGAGTAAATCTTTTATCCTTAGTAGTTTCAGCAATAATATTTTTGGCTTTCAAATCTACACAGCTCCCTCTTACCCAAACCCTAACCTGAGCCCCAACACCTTGCCTTCACATAACTCTGGGAAAGCTCCAGGGAAGTAGTCAGGACATGAACTAAAATCACAAGACTGATCCTGGTATGACTCACCACTTTCACTCCTCGCTGAAGATGCCTGTGTCCGCTTCAGTTAACTCGCTACCGCAAAGAGCTGCACAAAGGCATCTTCAGCCTAAGCTCAGCATCCATGTGAGAGACAGATGTGGAACGGTTACCATAGGCTGCTTCCTAGGGCAGCCAAGCCGTGCCTCTACTGCGCCCAATGCACCCCTCAACCCTTGTCTGCAGGCTTCCAGCAGTGCTGGGGGTGTACAATCAGCAAAGATGATCTAGAGGATTCCCAGCAGATGGGGAGTCCCCCTTCCTCACACCTGCTTGTGCTCCTGCCTCTCCCTCTTACCAGCAGTTTGAGACAGGTCCATCCTTCCATCCTTCCCACCAGCCTTCTGGAAAAAATGAAATGCCACACAGCAACCTGAACACGCAGAGGTGCTCAGCATCCACAAGAGGAGCAAGGACCGAAGCCTGTTACCTTCCAAATCCAGGACTGGGAGGGAGCTGTATGGCTTGACAAGAGCAGGGCAATCTGCATGCAGGCAGAGGTTCACAGCAGGTGCCTGCCTGCTGTTTTCAACAGCAAAGTCATGTCAGATAGCAAGAGCTGGTGATCTAGCCCTTCCCTCTGTCTGGATGCAATGTCACAGGCACAGTGCTGTGTGCAGACATCACTTTAGGTCCTGCCTGACCCCTAAGGAGGGTGCGGGCAGTGGAGTACAAGGGGGTACAAAGCTTATAGCCAGGAGCAAAGGGATCTCTGCTCTCACCCCCCTCTTCCTTCTGTTTATCCCAGATGCTCCTTTCACGGTTGATGCCCCTGGAACACGAGTCCACACTGGCTGAAGAGGACACAAAGGAGGGGTCCAGCTTTGGTCCTCAGTTGGTCTCCTCCACCCTCCCCTTCCTCCCATCTGGGGCTAGAGCTGCCCGTTCTTCTCTCTGGCGCAAGACCCTCGCCAGTCGCAAGTGGGCATTGCCTGGAGACTGGGCCTGGAAGGCCTTGCCCAGGGGCTGCTTTGGGCTGAAACTGGACCGCATCGGGACCTTCAGTGGTTTGGGGTGTTAGATTTGGAGGGGCTCTGAGGTGAGAGGGCCAGCAGTGAGGGGGCTCGAACAAGCGGGCAGGGACAAAGTTAAGGGAAGACTTGAATGCACAGATAGCGAGCAGATGGGGGCAGCCGGGCAGGCTGTGGGGCCACCACCTGCCAGCAGCCAGAGCCAGGGCCGGGACCAGAGACCCCCCGCGCTGCCGGGGCTGTGCTGGGGCTCGGCCGGGGCGGGAGCAGGCGGGCGGGACGCCGCTGGGCGGCTCACCAGCCCCGCTTCTCCACAGCCAGAGGCACCTAGGCTCGGGGAACCGGCACGGCGTGGTGAACCAGCGCGGCTCGGGAACCGGCACGGTGCACCGCTGGACGAAGCCCCGAAGCTCCCACCCCGAAGGAGCGCGGCGGCGGCTGCGGGGAAGCGGGAGGAGCTGCCCAGCTCCGCAGCTGCTCCCCTCGGCCGCTGGACCCCCGGCTACGCCGGCAGCCCTCTCCCCTCCTCCCCGCGCATGAGGACTCGCTGATTAAACACGCTGTACTGTTTGCCTCGTCCGAGCTCGGCGGTGGCCGCCCCCCGGCCGCGGGGCGGGCGAGAGGCGGCGGCAGAGCGGGGCCCGCGCCCCCAGCCCCACGCGCGGGTCCACACCGGGCTGTGCCGCCGCCGCCGCCATTCTGCGTGGGGCGGGCGGCACGCGCGGCTGCGGCGCGGTGCTGCCGGGGGGGGGGGCGGGACACGGGTGAGGGATCGACCGGGCACCGGGGTAAAAGGGCCGCGTTGGCTCATGCCGGCCGCACTCTGCCCCCGCCAGAGCAAACACAGGGGCCTCCTGTTTGCGCTGAAGCTTTCCCCGGGGAGCCTCCCTCGGTGGGCTGCGGCTGGGGCACCACGAATCCCGGCACGCGTTGGCAGCCCTGCTGCTGTACCACGAGAGCCATCATCATCCTCTGGCCTTTAAGGAAAGGTTGTAACCTCAGCTGGGTCTAAACTTAGCCGCAAGCACCTCGGCAGCACCGGGAATAGCAGTGGTATAGGGAGAGTTGGGTTACGTTTGAGCTGTGTGACCCCTCTCTGCCCCCCACCCCAGTACCTGCGTCGTTCCCCCAGCCCGCTCCCCCCTCTTCATCATCAAAGACCTGCTCAGCCGAGCAGCCAGAGGGACGTTCCTCCTTCCACCTCCCCTCCCCGCCCTCCGCCAATCCAGATTTCCATCCGTTACAATCACCGGAATCCATTAGAATCACAGACTCTGAGTTGGAAGAGACCACACTGTTCCCACACCTTCCTCCTGCATGGGGGGGATTTGGGCGTGCTGTGGGCGTTCTACCTAACGCGGGTTTGTCCTGCCGCACGTGCCCCGCACCGAGCCGGCAGATGCAGCCCGGCAGGACTCCGAGAGGAAGCCCGGAATGGGGGGCGGGGAGCTGGGCAGCGGCCATGCCAGGAACCCTTCCTCCTCGCAGGCAGCCGGGGAAGGCGGGCCGAGGCGGCAGACGAGCAGGATTTCCGCCGTCACGTCCCGCGGGCAGCGGCACCAGTGCCGCAGTGCCTCATTAAGATGGTGCTCACGCCGCAACCCGGCCGGGGCCCCTCCAGGACACGCCTGGATAAACCCACCCGGGAAGGGTCCCAGGCGGGAGGCGAGAGAGCTCCCAGCCAACACCTGCAGCTTCCCAGCGCCGGGGGGAATGGGAGATGCAAAGGGGCTGCTCCCTCAGGGTGTCCCCAGCATCCCTTTTGCCCTTGCTACCACAGAATTATAGAATGTTAAGGGGTTGGAACAGACCTTAAAGATCATCTAGTGCCAGTCCCCCTGCCATGGCCAAGAACACCTCCCACTAGACCGAGTTGCTCAAGGCCTTATCCAATGTGGCTTTGAGCACTTCCAGGGTTGGGGCATCCACGACCTCCTTGGGCAACCCCTTCCAGCGTCTCACCACCCTCCCAGTAAAAAAGTTAATGCTAATATCCAACCTAAATTTCCCGTCTTTCAATTTGTACACCCGTTACTCCTTGTTCTATCACTACAGTTCCTATCAGGGAGTCCCTTCCCGGCTTCTCTGTAGGTCCCCTTCAGATACTGGATACTATTCCATGCAGGAGGGCGCAGGCTGCAGCCGGGGGTTGGGGGGTGCCTGCCCTTTGTTACCAGGTGAAAGCAGCGTACGCCATCCCCCGGGGCAGCAGCGAGCCCGGCGGGGGCAGCCCATCACCAGGAGGGGACGGGGGGTCCCTCCCCGCCTCCTCAGGCAGGGGCGCAGCCGCCCATTCCCGCCCTGGGGGCACCTCCCCGCCAAGACCAGGCCATCTCTCACCACCGCCATCCCCACCGCCATCCCTGGGGCGGCTCAGTGGGAGGAGCGTGAGTGCCGAGCCCCGCGGACCCGCCGTTCCCGGCGTGGGGCCTTTGTTGCCGGGGGGCGGCGGGGCGGGGGCCGCGGGGGGGGGGGGGGTCCGGCAGCCGCACCCGCAGCGCGATCGCACGTAGCCCGGCCCGGCCCCCGCGCTCCCATTGGGCGGCGCCGCGGCGGGGCGGGCCCCAGCCCTGCCCTTCCGTGCCTATAAAGGGCGGCGGAGCGGGGCTGCGCCACCTCTTCACTGCGCGCTCGGCGGCTTGGAGGCAGCAGGTAACGGGCGGGGGCGGCG